AAAAACTAGACGCAATCGGGATGGAGAGAGAGGAAGGAGTGTGCGGTGGAAGTGGAACACAACAGAAGGTAGAAAGAGGGAAATATATTGGTTCTCTAGCTAGAATTGTGTGTCTTTGTTCGAATTTCACATAGCCAAAAAAGTGGCGGCCAAAACCAAATTTTTTGAGCCAAAAACAATTGGGAGTGGCGGGTTTTTTGGTTTTGGAGGGTTTCACTTGTTTTTTTTTTGGAGCCAAAGGAATTTTTGGAGGCATAGCAAATTTTGGATAAAGCAAATTCTCACTTATTTTTTATGATAAATCGTCACATTGTTCACGGGAATTAACTGTGACTAACAAAAAGGAGAAGGAGAATCGTTGATTACAAAAAGGTGGAGGGAAGTTTGGAAAATCAGAGGGAAAATGGAGTCCGGCGTGGTGGAAGTAACCTCAGTAGAGGAGGCGGGTCTGAGAGGAGGGAGGAGAATGAGGGTCGAGAAGCGCAGGGTAGATAATATAATACCGGTTTTTCGTAACATCGATTTACCGCCAGTTACTTACCTAGTGGCAGTCGATATACTGATAGGTGGATTTTCACCACCGCATATCGGTACCGGCGATTATTGGTACGGTTATCGCGTAAACCGTTAACCGGCTAACTGATTACCAGCCCTAGCTAGGAGTGATGTGTGCGCACAAATGACATGCAATCAAAGTGATAAAATTCTAGAAATACCAAGAATCGTATTCCTCGTATCTTTTAACTTCAACATACTAATCATCGACTTTAGCAATGAGAAAAGAAAGAATATTTTTTTTTAATTACAATTAATTTTTATATTTTCTAATATCTTCTATTTGTGCCATGAACCCCCCCCCCCTTTTAGCCCCTCCTCTTCGCAATCCCCGAATGATGATCGCAATTGAGGCGCCTTGACCCTGCACAATGAGCGCCTAGAGGGCTTCTGGATGCCCGTTAGCACTCCAACGCTCAAGTCAGTGCAAATTCTAGAGAGATAAGTGCCTAGAGAGATTTTAGTGAGAAAAGCCTACCTGCTTAAATGCCACCTACCGAGTACTATTTATACTCGTCGAGATTCCGACCAGGCTCCTAGAATTCAGCTCCACGTCAGCGCGTCATTAAATGCTCGGTACGGCCCAACGGTCAGGCGCCGTCACGTGGCAGCTTCTGGGCTCCTAAGCCCAGGCGCTTGCAGGGACCACACTGCGAGGTGGCATGCCCTCAGCCTCTTGGTCCCCGCCTTGCACGATCCCCGCCCTATTCTTGTCGTTATGCGCCTGCTCACCCTTGCCTAGGCAAAACTCCTAGCTTACATCCCATTCTCCTTGCTCTGAAGCGGGCTTGGTACTAGGAAACCTCCATGGGTCCATGTCCTCCAATGGCTCACTTATGCTTACCCAACATCTTCCAAGAACTTGAAGTTTAAGGATGGTAATCGTACTCGCGAAATGCAGGAAATTCCCGCATTGACTGGGTATGGGTAAAAGTTGTAAAGAGTTTAAAAGTGATGGATAGAGTCTAGTTTAAATTTCCCCCGCCCTATACCCACACTCGTACCCACCCATCAAGAGTATTCTTTTTAATTATGTAGACAAAATACACTTCTATGGCCAAAACATTTGCGTTGCCAATAATTGCCACTTTTGAAAAAATACCAGATATAGCCACTTCCGTCCAATACTTTAACGGTGTCATTTAACAGGCTGACTAGACTAACGAAAATACTGACTTGGCACAACACTGTTGCCACGTAGATTAATAAATAATAATTTAATGAAAACAAAATCATAATTAAAAGAAAACCATTCAATGAAAAAACTCACACCACACTCTCTCTCTTCTCCCACCACTCATTAAAAGAAAACCATCATTGTTGCCGTTAATTTTGATGACCATCGTCGGCTGGCCCCTTTCCTTTCTCCTCGTCTTTTACCAAAAATGAGAGGGAAAGATAAGTTATATAGAGAGGTGATCGAAAAAGGGAAAGGAGAATGGAGAAAGATCTGAGAGATGAGAAGAGGGTAAAATCGATTTGGAAAGAAGAGGTATTGAAGAAGCATAGTTGTAGGTTGTCGTGAATCGGGGATGGCGAGGTATTGATATCTTGGTATTGCTGGATATTGAGATTCGCACCACGTCAGCTGAAGACATTCACCTCGACAGCTACTAGAGGTATATACACAAGCTCTGCCTCAGATCCAATCCCTAGTAATTTTTTGATTTTCCAGATTTGGGGGAAAAAGAAAAAGACCAAGAATGGGGTTGGGGTAGAGATGGAAAGCCCTTGTATCGGCTGTAATTGGAGATTTGTGTGGCGATTCTCTAGCGACTTCCAACTCTCGATTGGTGGCGATTCTGGAGCCAAGGTCTTCTTTGATCTGCCCTTCAAATTCGCTGACGAGGAGTCAAGGTCTTCGTGGATCTGAGTTTCGGCATCCAGAAAATTCAAAGAAATAGGGGAAATAGAGGATGAGGACGAAGAGGGGAAGGATAGGGAGACGAGGAGCGTAGTAATGAGAAGCCATTGAAATGAGGTGGAATTACGAACTTGTGATTAGAGATTCGGTGGGGTGAATGGATCCGCACAATATATAATAGAAAGAAGAAAAAGAATATGAGCAGCGCCGACCGGTAAGAGAGTTTGGGTTTGAGTTGTCGGTGAAGAGAGAGAAGGGAAAAGTGAGGTGGGGAAGGGAAGAGAGAAAATCCATTAGTTAATTTAATTTTTTATTTTATTAATTAGTTTATAATGTGTAGTTATTAAATAAATAAAAAATATGCCGTGTCACTTTTGGCTTATTTGGCGCTGACGTGTCCGTCGAGTTGGCGTCTAGTCAGCGAACCGTCACATAAGTTGATGGTGTTAATAAACCGTTAAAGTATCTAACGGAAATGACTCGATTTGTCATACAACAACTTTAAAAGCTGGTTATAAGTGGTATTGCTCCAAATTTTGCTATTATTAGCACAAACGTGAAAGTTTTGGCTATACAATTGTATTTTTCCTTTTATGTATACGAAAATATAGAGATCATACTGTAATCTATCAAAAGGAAGGGTAATTTTGAAACAATAAATAGGTTAAATATAATTTTCGTGTGCTTGGTGGATTTGAAAAATAAAGGTTTTGGTATAACTTCGATTTTGAAAACCCATGGATATATATAAGGGTTTTGGGTTCATCATGGATTTCATGAACACCATTGTTTGTTTCATTGATTTCATAATGGATTTTGTTAATTAAACTTATATGTATGAAATGAAATTTACCTTTATTACCCTCAATGATATAAGAAGAGAAAGAAGATACGAGGGTAGGTTGGTAAAAATGATTGACTTCAAAGTCAATGATCAATTCCCACCTAAAGAGGTGAGATTTTCATGTCCGTGGGGGGCCACAGATTTGGACCCTCAAAGTCTGGGTCCCACGGATTTTGGACAAAGTCCATCAAGATTCCAAATCCATCAAACAAACAATCCCATGACCACCCAACTTAATCATAATTTCTCTCGTGCAGTTCGCTTGTCACTCTTTGAAACCCAGGAATTGTGTCCTTCAATTTGCATCCTCTTTTGCACATGAAAATCTCATATTAGCTTTCTCTGCTTTGTCTTATGGATCGATGGATGCTTTAGGATTAGATGCTTTGAATTCGTAGTAAGAATTAATGAGTGCATATTTGTCTATTTCACGATTTACTAGGTGTGATTTAATGTTATGATTGAAGATCAACATGTTCAATTTTATGTATAATAATAATAATAGATATACGGGGAGGGTATTACCCAAACACGGGTGCCCGAAAACTAAGGTTAGGGAGAAAGGGTTTCAAAACTCCACACATGACTATACAATGGTATAAGTTTGATTATTTGAAAAATGATAATATTAATTATAGACTTGAATGAGGATGGTTTAGAAAAATCCTTTGCCATTCCTAGTGAAATGTACATAGAGTGGAGAGCCTACATGTGGTTAAATTGTAACGTGATAACTAATGGCATCCCTCATTTGATAGGCTTAATATTGTCAAATAGTACGAATGTAGAAGAAACAACACCGCGATTTAACGTGGTATCCCTGAATCTGAGGACTAATCCACGGGAGAGACTATACTCTCCAAGAGTTTCACTATAATCAATATGGCTTAGTTACAGGAGTACAGCCGAGTTCGGCTTATTATAGGGTTAAATACTAACCTAGACAATTAAGTGGCTAATTACATGGCACCTCAACAATACAAATCAACAAATATCCCAAACAAATACTATATAAACTATTTAAAATATTATGATCAAAGTTGGTTGCGTCGTGTGGTTCGTCGGTTGGGGGTTTGAGTCAAGCTTGATTGTCTTTGCTTATGTTTCTTTTTTTTTTTTTACAAAAGATAATCATATATTGATACTCAAGAATTGATCATTACACCACCTGCCTCAACCATACTACAAAATCAAAAGAACGACTCGCTATCGGGTACAAAGAAAGGGACTTTCGAGCCACCAAATGGGCTACTCTGTTACTACGCCGACCAACGAACCGAACACTAAACCCTGCATTCTCAGCCATGTAGAGCAATACCTTACGAAAAATAGCTCCCGCCATATTATCAGTTTCCTTTGATGAAACATGTTATATATTTTTTCGTATTGAATTTGGATTCCTTATGATATGGTTCAAAAGAGAAAGAGTAATGGAATGAATGATTGATTCGTTAGTTTCCTTTGATAACAACGTTGTTATCATTTCTTTCAAATTTAAATGTTAGTGACCGAACTTGTCTGGACAAGAATTTAAGCGAAACTACCCAACTAAACTAAGGGCAGGGATTTAGACAGTCATGAATTCCCAGCTAGCCAAAGTAGAGTCATATTGAATTCAAGAGGCAAGCAAAGTACAGCTGAATGTGTAATTAACTGAGAAATACAGGAAAAAGCAGATACTCTACATAGGAGATCAACTTATTCCAACAAGCCCACAAATTAAACCACGTACATAATTCAGAGTTGCTGAAATTGAATGGAGCACCTCTGGGGGTAGGAAGCTGAGCCAGTTGTAAATTTGCTGCAGGGATCCACATACTGTGCCAAAGCATAAAGACAATAATAACAACTATCTCCGGTGACGACACTGGAACAAGTCGCCGTACCGGTGGCGGCACCGCTACCGGCGATGCTATCCGGCGGTTGTGTTGAGGTGTACGTTGTGAGGCCTGAACTAGGGTCTGGGGACTGATATCGCGTATTCATAAACAGATCCAGAAGGACAACATCAACCTGTACAGCGAAATTGGGACCAGCTGCCGGGGTTGTGCCGCAAATGTCATCGCTTGATCCGCAGCCCAGGTATCCGACAACGACCAGCACCACCGTAAGCAATTTTTTGAGGCAACCCGCCATCTGTTTGGATGGAATAAAAATGGATATTGGTACTTGGTAGTGATTCGTTTATATATGCATCTTGTCTTCCATTGCTGAAAAGAGACGTTTTTTTATGGCGACAAAGAAGGTTCCCATCGCCGGCGATCGGATTCCTTCTCTTCCTTTCTTTTGGATCTTTAGCCGAGTTTGGTATTTGGGGAGTTCCTGTTTTAAGTCGATATTTAAGTTTGTATATCGTTGGCGTTTGTTTTCCAACGCATCGCCGGCGATCAAAGGGTGGAATGTTTAAACTCTATTTTCAGAGAAGGGCATATATTTAAACAAGGAAGGCCAACTCATGGAAACTAGGGCATATATTTAAATAGGATCATCTAATATGACCGTAACTCATATATTAGCGAATTGTAGACTTGCAGTATTAGAAATTGTAATAGGGTAACCATTAAAAAAAAAGTGTAATAGCGTATAAATTTCAATAGTTGCCCACTAATAAAATCTGGATTCCTATTTAAGGCCCTAATTTTTTAAAATTTCCGCCCAAAATTAACCAGACAGACGATATTACCCTCAATTTCTAAAAAGATCGCCCCAACCCATCGTCCTAATCCCTAATTGGATCTGCTCATCATCGACGGAAGGAAAATCCGGCTGATGAAATTCACCGGCTGTTGACGAATCTTGCGCAGCTACTCTGCTACTCGGATGACGGAAACCTTCGCCAATTCCGCGCGGCTGCTTTGGTGCTCAGTTGACGGCGGCCTTCGCCAATCTTCCGCGGGTGCTCTACTCGGTTCGCCTCGTCTTCACCGCCACACCTGCCACTCCGCCGATCGAGGACAGAGAAGAGAGAAACTTATCTCGCCCCGCCGGCCGCCTCTGCTACTGCTCGATTCTGAAGCGCCGAGTTCAATCGTCTGCCGAGACATGGTTTCCGAAGGAGGAAGAAGGAACCGTCGCGCCGAGGTTCTTCGTGGTCGAGGAAGGAAGAGGAAGAAAACGGATAGTCGCTGTTTACGAGAAAGGAGGGTGAAGACTGATCATCGACACTCGTTCATAGACCTCCCGTCGACTGTCGGTAGAAGCAGAGCAAGTCCAGGCCTATCCTAAGCCCTCCGACTGATTTTCATATTCTAGGAATTGGCGACGTCGACTGGGCGGAACGAGGAGCGGAGCAGTCACGACGAGGACTTCCACACCAACGGCGGCGACGAGGGAGGACTTCCAGGTGAACGACGGCGAAGGGCAATGACTTCCAGGGTCAACGGCGGCGACGGGCGAGGACTTGTTCACCGGCGATAGGGATCCTAGGGCGACGGCTCACGTTTAGACGAGTTCTATGTTTTTTGGAAATTGTTTTTATTTTTTGGAATTTGGTTAGAGATTGGGGATATTTTGGGGTAAAAAATGTCAACTTATCTAAGTTAGGACGATAAATTTAAAAATTTAAGGCGTTAATTAGTACCTCCCTAAAATTCCCACTAGTGGCCTTCCCCTTGCTTGGGAGTACCTGCCTTCCAAGAAGCTCTCCGTATTTCTCAGTGGGATCAAACTTGTACGCAACCATTTCTTGCTGAGCAATGTAAAAATTTGATTCCACTGAGAAATACGACGAGCTTCTTGGAAGGCAGGTACTCCCCACTGAAATAATCATCACTACATCTCTCAAACGTGTGCATAGGGTTCTTCACTATTTCATCACGCATGTCTTTCTTACCGCAGTGACTCGCTTGATGTCGTCAATCAGCTTGATCTTTGGGTGATCTCCAATGCCTTGCCTGGACGCAAGCTTGACTATTCTCACTCGCTTTTTGGTTGCATGATTAGAGCAAGTAGTGACTAGTACAATGGCAATTTGCCTTTTGGTGGATACATAAGCCTTCTGCTTGCCAATCTAGATATTCCTCTGGATGGTTATATTTTTTAGGAAACATTCATCCTTATACCAGCCACCATCATCATGAGGCACTATGTCATCCCGTGTAGGCCTTCAGAAGGGGCAAAAGAAGTTGTTCTCGTTGATGTAAAGGAGGTGGCTGCTCAAGTCAACAGAGCTCGCAAAAGGCGCCGTATGATTCAAGAGGGAGCAAGTGAGGTGGTGTTGAGCGAGGATTAGGGGAAAGACTTTGTTCGAGAAGAACATTTCACCAAGAGAGATAGTTGTGTTTTTTGTTATTTGATAAAGAGATAGTTGTATTTTTAGTTAGACGACTCTTCTATAGGCCTTGGGGTCAAGAGAAAATGGCCCTTTTCATGGTCGCGGTAACTAGAATTTTCCTTTTCATTTAATTAACTAGCATTTTCATTTGTGCATTATTTGTTCAATTTTAGATTTCACTTATTTCTGAAGGTTTCCAAACAACAAAAGCGTATTTGTAGTAATACTTTAGCTCAAATCAACGTGAACCAACTTGGCCAATTCTACAAGTCACAATTGCTTGACAATGAAGCAATCTCAAATTCATTTTAGGGTGCCCACTCTTTATACCACATGAAATAAGGTATTTTCTACTATAAAAAGACTAGAGAGTAGATGGTTGAATGCTTACCTGTAAGGCTTCAAACGAAGAGTTCAAAGTTGCTACAAAGCCTGTTTTTCTAGCAGCTTGCCTGTGCTAGAAGGCAGCTTGTTTGTGCTGGAAGAAATGAAGTTTTGGCCATTACTCTAAAAGACATCTATTCCATTGGATTACTGATGCATAATTGTTATTTTTCTTTCACCGTACCAACTATCAAACAATAACTATATACCATTAATTAAAACTTCCATAGTTATTCAATAAAAATATAGGTAAATTACTCAATGCAAAGCAATAATACTTCAATATAAACCAACCTCCAAATTAGAAAATCCATTGTCAAATCCAACAAAAACAACAAGCATTTATAAAATCATCTAATACAATACTTCAATCCTAAAATTTGGCGTTCTCTCTTTCTTGTCGTGCCTTTTGTTTGGCTTCCTTGTACTCGAGTGTGAGAGCTCCAAGTTTTGGTGCAAGTTTTTTTTTTTTTTCTTATTACTTCAGCACCTTATGCCTCAACATCTTTATATGATGTCGTACAAGAAACAAAGTGAGTTCCATTTGCCTCACCGGGCCACATGGATGTACGAACATTAAACAATTCATATTAAGTCCGGGTAAACAATACAATAAAGATTTAATTTTAGAAAATGTTTCGTTGCTTGCTTCGAATAAGAACATTAGCGCAAACTCACCCATATGAAAAATGAATCCAATAATCCTCTCATCGTCCAACAACACACCCGCACCCCACTATCGGACCTACAAAAGATGAAAATCATTGCATGAGAAACTATTTCCTAAGTACGCCTTTGAAATGACGCATAAAGAAACATTCTTACTCATCCATTTATTCTTGGCGAGAAGGCCTTGTGTACGTATAATCTAGAAATCTCGGTGGCTCGCATGTGTTTTCGCGTTCAAGGTACAGAGCCTGCCACAAGCTATCCAAAAATGCAATATGCACAATTGATGAAGCGTTGGTAATGAAAAACACGGACACATATGTATGATTACATAAGAACCACACACAATTTAATAAATCCACCATTCTTTCCACGTCTCTCTGACGTAATGCCTTCCGCTTCTCAGATTGACTTGAATCAAGGATGTGAACTTCTTGCTCCTTGATGAAAATGATACCCAGGTACTAGTGCGCCTTCCCATCATGTCGCCTATCCTTCATCGGAAGACAAACCTACACATGACCAAACATTTAATCCTTATTCGACCTATACATATTGGTACATGCACTAGTTATTTAGAGGAGACCACGGGATAAGAAGAAACAACCTTGTCGCAATTCTCTGCCCGCTTCAGGAAAGTGTGGTTGTATAGCTCCAACGCCTTCTTAGGTATCAAGCCATAGGAAGTAGCGAGCTCCTGCTCATGCATCAAATAGTTAACATAGATAGAGTCAGATGAAAGTTGAAGTAAATTCACATAAAATAGGAAGTATGCCAGAAACTTAATAAGGAAGTCCTTAAACCTAATGAAGTAGACCAGAAAATCCAGAAAGGGAGTGAGGCAACAATAAGTAACCATTACAACATTATTCCTAGTGTACCTGGAGGTCAGCTGGCAAGTAGCATATTCCTTTTTCGTCTTCATGATCCATCCAGACTTGTCTCATTGCCCCAAACCAGATATGACAACATCGATCGACCACCATCACGTCCACCAAGAGGGACCGATTTCGATGTGGCCTTGGTCTGGCAAAGAGACACTGCAAATGGGTCCTTGCTAAGCAATTCCACAAAGTTTGGCGGAGATATCACATGTAACTCATGGCCGGTGCAAGCCTCTTCCACCTCAACTTCGTCCTCGGCCTGGACGCCAATTGCTTCTTCAAACCCCCTTCCTTCTTCACGTGGTATCACCCTTGGGAAATGATCAAGAACTCCATCTGCTTCACTTTCGTCATCCTCCACAACTTCTTCCTGCACCCTTTCTTGCTCTTCTTCTCCCAACACGGATTGGAGGGCAAGTCGCCAAGCAATTTCTTTGATGAGATCATCTTGCATCTCCTCACTCATGCCTGCCTCTTCAAAGCTTAGTGTGGGATGTGGAAAGGTGTGGTCGGCTACGACAGGATATTCCTGATCATGATCATCACGGGAGCTCTCCGTGAAAACTTATGTGTGCTCCACAATGTCCTTGTAGCCTTCTTCTTCTTCCTCCTCCTCTTCTAGTATGGTAGCAGAAGGGTGATCTTGAGCAAAATGTGCATAAGATTTCTCAAGATCATCGAGGCTCCTCTTAATGCTCAGGAGGATCTCCTCTGTTTCAGGATAGGTCTGGGTACAAAGATCCAACCTGGAGCATGATCTCTCACTGTCTTGAGCAAACTGCTCCATGAGAAGCCTCAATTCATAGTTTGGATCTGGCGGTGGAGTGTAGCATGGCTCTGCAGAATGGCCCGTGAAGGCCGCCATGGGTAACTCCAGCTCCGATGGCCCTTCTGGTTGTGGGAGAAATTCTTCTTGGTAATGAGGT